AATAAAGCCACAAGAAACCAGATTTCATCAGTTTCACCAGCTATAGGCACTTAGAAAATTATTCTACCAGATTTTTTTTCCTCCCACAGCACATTGAATCTAAAACTCACGCTGTGCTATTAATTACACTTAATTTTGCACTAGTGCTTGCAAAACCAGTTGTTGGCTCATGTGAAGAAAGCCTTGTGCAAAGAAATCTAATATTCAGATTCAATGCAATAAAGAGAAACGTATTTTTAACTTATATGTTGTTATTGTAAGTCAAACTGAATTAATTTCCTGATGAGTTACTCATTTATCTACTACACTGAAATTATGAAGCTGACTTTTTTCAAACTTGACTTACATTTGACTTGTAATAAATCTCAGAAAAACCCCTCAAATATTGAAAAAAAAGCTTAGTAACTTTTTAGCATCCTCTACTCATGATTGCCAAAGACATAGACAAAGGTGAACATTTAGTAAATTAACTAAACAGACTAACTAGGTAGATGACCTTTTGGGTACACATGCCATTCCTACCGTAGCTGACAAATTTTGAGAAGTGCTCTTTTACAGTTTTCCACTTCAGAGCTGCATGGTGATATGTAAGCACAAACTTATATTCTAGGAGTGCTACCAAGTTTACCAAAAAATCACCCTTAAATTGAGCGTATGTGTAGCGAGCTTTCAAGGGTGTATTTGATGATTTTGTAGAATCATATATTGTAAAAACACAGTATCTTGTAATTATTCACATTTTTAAAAGCAATAAAATTCTAAAACTAAGAAAAAAATTAAGAATAATTACAGTTTTTAAGGTTTATGATTTAATAATCCTCATTCACAACTATCGTCGCCAAAGGTCACACTGCTTCTGAAAAGCTGCAACATTATGATTAATGTAGCTTATTATTCTTACATAGATGCAAAATTTTAATTCATTCAAATTCTTCAAACTGTTTTCTGCATGATAGCTTCTAAAATAAGCTTTTAAAGCTATAATTACAAATAAAATATATGTAACACATATGCTCCTTTAAGAAAATGCGCAAAGGGATAAAACTGCAAGTTTACAATGTTTACTACTTTTTATGTTTAGTATTTCTCCAATTAAACCAACTAATGAGGGTATGCTTTATGTTTTCATAGTCTGCCCATTTTGAAAGAGTTTCATTTCTAAGTTTCATGAACTAGAATGTGGCTGCATTGCTTGGATCACAAAGTAAGGGACAAATATTTTGAAATACTTAGTCTTTAAAAATCGTGAAATAAATTAACCTCATACTAAAGTTTTCCAAAAATCCTCTCTTAAAACCAAGAGCCTCTTGATAGTGTACCTTTAACATACTTGGGGGACATCTGTACATTTAATGCCAAGAACAACTTCCTGTTTTGAAGAAATTGCACTGCTGAAGCACAGACTGAGAAAAACATCTGATGATTGTGTATTATGATAGATTCTTTCATTACAATATTCCCTTGTTTAAGATACTACTTCTTAGCTAGTATTTTTCATCAGCATAGTTGTTGCCTTTCCACAAAAAAAAAAAAAGATGAATAATAAAACCAGCAACTCTCTAGGAGTTCTACTGTACTAAACCTGGCAAGGGACTTAGGGAGCCTGGTGTTAATAGTACACTTGTTGAGTACAATACTTTATTTCTTCCACAAGCTAGTTTAGGAAGACAAGAATTGGCCATGTATTTTGTAAGCTACATAAAACAGTGCCGAAAAAAAAAAAAAAAAAAAAAAGAGCAGGCCTGCTTGCCATCAAGTTTTGATGAAAAAATAAAATTGAAATTTAAGTGTTCTCCCCTTAAGAGCTGTTAAGAGATTGTATGCCAAACATGTGAAGAAGAATCCCAGCAAGCTTCATCCACAAAATGAAGAAGAAATTGGTTAATTTTCTTCAATAATAAATTTTCTTCGCTAAGAAGAAAATTAATCAGTACCTCAAAAAATGTGGGAGAAATTTGCTTTTTTTCCTTTAAATTCAAGACTTCAGAAGGAATTTCTCTCACACAAAATAACGTCACTAAGGGAAAACTTCTTACAAAGAAATCAGACCATAAAAGCACATAATAGACCAGTAAGAAAAAATGCCCATAGGAATTCTTGCCTTTGACAGAACTACTATACTACCTAATAGGATATTCAAATGTATCAAGCCTAATTGATGGCTGCGGTGATCTTCAGAATGACAAGTTAACTATACACCTATCTAGAATCTAGTATTGTTTGCGTCAACATATTGCTACTGTAATAGAAGAGACACTCTACCATTTCTTAACCGGCAAACTCTCTCTTTGCCTCTCCCAAGTCAACAGACTGCAAGACAGGGACCAGAGGGGTAAAGTCCCTCCCACTGTAAGGGAAGACCAGGTTCGTGACCACCTGAGGAACCTGAACACACATAAGTCTATGGACCCGATATGATGCATCCCAGAGTCCTGAGGGAATTGGCTGATGTCATTGCCAAGCCACTTCCCAAGATAACTGAAAGGTCACGGCAGTCAAGTGAAGTCCCTGGTGACTGGAAGAAGGGCAACATTGTGCCCATTTTTACAAAGGGTAGGAAGGAGGACCCTGGGAACTACTGACCTATCAGCCTCCCCTCTGTACCTGCAAAGATCATGGAACAGATCCTCCTAGAAGCTCTGCTCAGGCACATGGAGGACAGGGAGGTGATTCGAGACAGCCAGCATGGCTTCACCAAGAGCAAGTCCTGCCTGACCAACCTAGTGGCTTTCTATGATGGTGTGACTACATCAGTGGACAACGGAAGAGCTATGGATGTCATCTATCTGGACTTCTGTAAGACCTTCGACACAGTCCCTCACAATATTCTTCTCTCTAAATTGGAGAGATATGGATTTGATGGGTGGGCTGTTCAGTGGATGAGGAACTGGTTGGAAGGTCGCAGCCAGAGGGTAGTGTTCAATGGCTTGATGTCCAGATGGACACCGGTGACAAGTGGTGTCACTCAAGGGTCCATACTGGGACCAGTACTGTTTAACATTTTCATCAACAACTTCACGAGATTGAGTGCACCCTCAGCAAGTTTGCCAATGACACCCAAGCTGAGTGGCATGGCTGACACGCCAGAAGGACAGGATGCCATCCAGAGAGACCTGGACGAGCTGGAGAAGCGGGCATGTGCTAACCTCATGAGGTTCCACAAGGCCATGCGCAAGGTCCTGCATTTGGGTTGGACCAATGCCTGTTATCAACACAGGCTGCGGGATGAAGGGATTGAGGAGACCAGCCCTGCCGAAAAAGACTTGCGGGTGCTGGTGGATGAAAAGCTGGGCATGAGCCAACAATGTGCGCTCGCAGCCCAGAAGGCCAACTGTATCCTGGGCTGCATCACAAGCAGCGTGGCCAGCAGGTCGAGGGAGGGGATTCTGCCCCTTTACTCCGCTCTTGTGAGACCCCATCACTCAGTCCTGATGGGGTCCTGCATCCAGCTTGGGAGTCCTCAGCACAGGAAAGACATGGAGCTGCTGGAGTGGGTCCAGAGGAGGGGGACCAAGATGGTCCGAGGGCTGGAGCACCTCTCCTATGAGGAA